GGGCAGGCAGCCGGGGCAGGCACGGCCTCGGCGCGGGCCTGCGCGGCCCCGGCGCTAGACTGTTCGGGTGGCTGAGAGAGCGCAGCCTGGGCCGCGGGCTGTTCGTGGACCCGGCGCGGGACCATTTCCGCACCATGACCAACCTGTACGGTTCCATCCACCCCGCGGACTCGGTGTACCTCAGCACGCGCACCCACGGAGCGGTCTTCAACCTGGAGTACTCGCCCGACGGGTAAGCGCGGCCCTGCGGGAGGAGTTCCGGGCGGCCGCGCTTTCGGCCGCAGGCCGGCTTGCCCCTGGGGCCGGGTCCTGCTGCGCCCCGTCCCGACCTTTTGAGGTAGTCAGGCGAGTTTGCTTCCCGTCGGGACTCGAGGCTCTGTGAAGGAAAAATGCCGAAAGCCACACCGCGAGGCTGTCACAGCCAGCCCAGACTAGGGCTCCTTGGTACACAGCAGGTGCTCATGAAATGTCTTAAATCAGCGCCCGTCCTTTTGCGAGTCATCCTAGGCGTACTTTTCTCCTAAGCTTGTGTCAGAGGTAGGGAAGCGGCAGAATCTCTGGACCCTGGGCCGGAGTTTGTCATGAGGAGACAATGGTGCATTCCTGTGCTCGGGAAAGGTACGTTACAAAGAGGCGTCTCCTCGTTTGGGCCCTTTGTAAAATTCTGAAGCTAGGCTACATGCTTCTGTTAAGGGCTAGATGTCCTCTTGACATGGTTTACTTTGGGCCGTGGGGAAGTTTCAAAACGAATATACTATATATATTTAAAACTTTGTCTTGAGTATACAAGTATAGCAATGATTAAAAGAAAAATGGGAACATATTTCCACCACAAAATGATACAGATAATATAGTTCTTACCACACCAGTGCTCTGGGTTGCTGGGTATTTACTTATTTTATTCATTCATTCTCTCACTCTGGAAATGCTGTTTGAGCACTACGCCCCAAATGCATGGTTAACGGTGTCAGGCAAAACTAGCTAATGTCACTGCTTTCATTGAGTGTGAAACCTACCAGTTCAACTAGATATTCGATAATCATACTAAATAATGCATAATGTATATTTACAAATTGAGATAAAATCTTCAAGAAATCTGTTGTGGACTAAGGTGTCTGATGTTTCCCTGAGAAAGGGACACTTGAACCAAGATCAAAGAAATGAAATTAGTAGAATATAAATAAGTCAAGATAGCATTGGAGAGAGGGAGTAGAAATATTCTAGATGAAAACTGGTATATCAAAAGTCCTTTGGTAGGAAAGAAGCAGTATGTCATGTTAGAAAAGCTGAAAACCAATTTTTTCCTGAAAAAAGAGCTAAAATGTGCTAAGAGAGAAGCAAAGGAAAAGTCAGAAATTACTGTAAACAGGTAAGCCCTCTTGCATTACATTGATGAAAGTGGTTTTCTTCTAATCACATCTGGTGCTAGGATCTCTAGAGTTTTTTCTTGTTTTAGCAATTTGGTAGAGCTCTTAGCAATGAGTACATACCTGAGTAAGGGAGAAAACTGGTGAGAGGAGAAATTTTTGCTGAAGCTTATTCATGGACCTTTCCTCCTTCCTCCATTCCCTGTTCTTGAGAGCTTCCCACCCTCAATCCTTGACAGCCTGTTTCTCATAAAAATTCATTTCCTTTCCTCTCTATGTCCTGGCTTCTGTCCTCTCAGCCTCCTACTTATACTTTAAGAAGTAGCTGTTTCTGCTCTTTAGAGGTACAATTTTAGGTAGAGAATGGTGATGATAGGATGAATTAGGAAGATTGAATTCAAATTGGAGGGCAATTGGAATGAGGGGCATATTATTCAGAATTCTTTGTTTGAATTTGGACTGCATTTTCCCAGAAACTTTTTTTTTTTTAAACCTAGGGGCACTTTACCAGTGAGCTATATTCTTTGCCCTATTTTTTGTTTTAAGACAGGGTCACACTAAATTGCTCTGGCTGACCTTAAACTTCCATTCCTCCTGCATCTGCCTTCCAGGTAACAAAGACTTTTTTTTTAAGGTAGTTAGGTACTCTGATACTTAAAATAATTGTGTAATTTTTAATCATACAATGGATACTTATTATGTAAGTAAACCTAGACAGTAAATGAACTAAACGTCACTTATAATCCTGGAGAATAAATGGATTCTAAGGAAATTTTTTCGTTATGTTTATTTAAATATAAACATGTAATCATACTTTGTAGCCTTTTTTCCTGTAGTATGTTATGAACTACTTATGTTAATAGAGTTCTACAATAGTATATAAATCCCTGTGAACAAATGTGTTAGATTTATATCTTGAAGTTAAATCCCTAGGATTCAAAGTTATGATTTTTGATACATATTGTTAATAGCTGTTTGTGAAGATCATACCAATTCTCATTCCTTTCATACACATATAAAAGTGTCTAATTCCCCATATCCTTGCCAGTACTGCATATTGCCACTTTTTTTTTAAATCTTTGTCAAGGTGAAAATAGTTCAGTATTTTAATTCTTTAGTATTGTTACTTTATCTAGTAGCATGCCCAACATTTGTTGAGCTAATAGACAGATGATGTATCTGCATTGAGGGAGATAATTTTTTATATCCCTCAGTTATATATGAGTTAAATTAGCTTACCAGATATGGTAATCACTGTCACATAGAAGGGCTTTTCAATATAGAGAAGTAATGACATAGAATGCAAGAATTACATTTAAGAATTTAATAGAGACCAGACTAAAAGTAATTTAGTACTAAAAAAGAAAAGGATATATAGACTAAAACGTAATTTCCAGAGTTCTAAAAACTGTTTTAAGTGATAGGAAATTTGTCATCTTCCTAGGATGACATTTTGAAAAAAGTAAATTTCATGTTATTTATTAAATTAGGTGAGACTTTCGAAAGCTATTCTCTACAAGAACATACTAGGCACAAAGAGAATTAGTATATTGAAAAAGAGAAGTGAAGTAATTATCCAAAATCAAACCATAGAAATTCAGGAACTGAAAATATGAAGGCAGTTTAGTAATATGAAACTTAAAGAGAAAAGGCCAGATATTTATTTAGAGTTTCTGAAGAAAATAAGATAGATAATAGGAAGGGAAAGAAAAAAAAAATTGAAGAGAAAAAGCCCCAATAAACCCAAGTGGCAGTTCTTCTAGGACATACAGTGAAAATGCAGGAAAACAAATACAATAGTCCAGTGCTTTAAATGATTTCTGTAATTTTTATGTACAGTGACCAGCACTCAAAAAAAGTAGGCATACTATGAAAAACCAATAGAAGTACTACACCATATAAATTCTTAGGAAACCCCAACATTAAAACTATGATATATTTAAGTAATTAAAAGACAAGATGGCTATCCTAACTTTCCACAATAGCCCATGCTGTGCTTTCCAGACTCAGTATCTTTGCTCTTACCCTCTTTTCTGTTTATTTGGCCCAAGCTCAGTCTACAATGCCAGTTTCTCCCCAACTTTTCACTTTTGCTTTATTGAATAAACTTTGTCACTGCTTTTATTTTTATTTATTTATTTTTTTTACAGTACCAGGAACCGAACTCACAGCCTCGCGCTTGCCAGGCAGGCACTGTGCCGCTGAGCTAAATCCCCAGCCCCTGTCACTGCTTTTAAAAAATAAAATACAAGATGGAGAAATTTAGTAGAGAACTAGAAACCATAAAAAGAAAAGACACTCTGGGAAGCCGAGTCAGGACGACTGAAAGTTTGATCCCAGCCTGAGCAATTTAGTGACTTTGTAAGACTGTCTCAAAATAAAAGAAGGCTGAAGATGTAGTTCAGTGTGATGGCCCTGGGTTCAGTCCTCAGTACCACAGGGAAAAACAAGGATGGAAAATCTAGACCAGAACAATACAATAATGGTTGATTTGAAATTTGAAAATAAATTAATGTAAATGACATCATTAACATAATAAAGGAAAAATATAGGAGTAGCTCAGTAAATGCTGAAAATGTTTCACACAATTTAACATATTTTTGTGGAAAAAGTAACAAAGCAAAATTAAAAGTACTAAAGAATTTCCTTAATCCAGTAATAGGAATCTCCAAAAATGAAAAACAACAACAAAACTCTACAATAAATATAATACTTCTTGGTGAATATTGAAGTTATTCTTGATTAAAAACAAGATAAGAGTGCCTATTAACATTTCTGTTCAGCAATATTCTGAAAGCTCTAGGCAGTATAGCTGGGAAAAGAGAGGGAAATTATCTATCTGTCTATTTATTGTCTTTGTGAGACGGGGTCTTGCTGTGCAGTTCAGGCTGGCCTTGAGCTCACTTTGTAGCTGAGGCTGGCCTCAAATTCACAAAGATCCTCCTGCCGTAGTCTCCCAAGTGCTGGGATTAGAGGCATGTGCCACCATGCCTGACCTAAGGGAAACTATTTAAAGAGAAGAAAGATCACAGATCTAGAGAAAACATTCCTAAAATTCATCTGGAACCAGAAGAGGCCTGGAATAGCAAAAGCAATCCTGGGAAACTAAAGAACGGCAGAAGGAATCGCAATTCCTGACTTAAAATTATACTACAAAGCTACTGTGATAATTGAGCATGGTACTGGCACAAAAGCAGACCTGAAAATCAATGGAACAGGTTAGAAGATGCATACATAACTACAAACACACTCAGCCACCTTATCTTTGA